CTTGTTGGTGTAATGCCCATTATCCCAATGATAGAGACATTACTTTTTACTGTTTCTAGTTAAAAGGGGATTTTTCATGGGCTCGGGTTCCCTGAGCAGGCCGACATCTTTCGACTTGTCTAGAATAGCCGAGACCGATGTACTCAGAGGGGTATATTGACTCTTGTCTCGATCGCGACGAGGAAGTGAGGCGTAAGATTTCTTGGGCTCATATTGCTGCTTCTTTCCTTTTCGCTGATTGTCATTAGCCCACCTGCAATCAACCCTCCTATTCTTCCCCCAACCAAGCGTACTGTCCAAAGGACCGGGGTCGTGGCGATTGAGCACCGCCACAGAGTTTTCAATGCGGAGGTATTTTTCTATAAGGCTATAGAAGTGGGTGAGGGAAACATCATCCTTAGATTACAGCTCTTTCCACAGATCTATCTGTGGACGAACTCTCGCGATGATGAGAGTCTGAACGGATTCTTCGGGAATGTGAGCTACTTTATAGAGCTCCATATGGAACCTGTCGATACAAGACTGGAGGGACTCATCCCTCTCTTTCCTTATGTTACTGAGGTAGCCTAGAGGCATCAAGAACTTCCTATTCGCTTGGAAGTGTCTCAAGAATGTTGAGCTCATCTGAGGCCACGAGCTGACTGATCCTGCTAAGAGCGACCTAAACCATCGCTTGGCATGTGAAGTAAGAGTTACTGTCAAGCAACAACATTTTTCCAAGTAAGAGACTTAGTGGAGTTCCATGAGGTCGTTGAACTCGTACAGATGATCCTGCGGATCAGAATTTTCATCGAATGCTCGCATATTGGGCATTCTGAATCTTGATGGGAGAGGGGTGGCTAACACTGCCAGAGAAAAAGGAGACGCCTCTATGACCTGCCCTTGCTCATTTCACTGAGCCTTTAACTAATCTAAAGCTCACTGCAACTCCTCAATCTGAGGCAGCAGAGCTACCTAGGGATCGCTTTCCGCAATGTGGGTTCGACCCTCACGGTTGCGGTTGAGGATAGATCGTAGGTCGAATTCCTCCTCGCCTCGGCCAGCAGTTCTGGCCAATCTTGACACACGCTGGCTAGAGTCGTGTGATGGCGCTGCATGGTTTAAGGAACCTTCCTAGCCTCCGCGGTGGTATGAACCGACCCGCAGACGATGGGAACTTCCCGCACGACGATGATCGGAGTCATCATTTTGGCGATAATGGGAATCTCCCTGCCCTACACTTTTGTGGGAGTGCTCACGCGACGTGGCACAGGACAGCTCGGGTCGTAACATGTCACCGAGGCTTAATGCCACAGGTATTCTACCCGGGGTACGGTCGGTGTTCGCTGGTCCCTCGAAGCCTCTAGGTCCGCTGTGCGCCACTTGTTTTCCCTTTCTTTGACGCATTGCAGTGTGCTAGGTATGGACTTTTGCCATTTTTTGCTCTTTCATGCGACCTGCAGGTGTTTTTGGCGGTGGCACCACCTCATTTGATTCGGGTGGCATGACATGATCCAACCGGTTCAGCCTTTGGCTAACCGTTTGGAGAGTATTGTTGAACCTCTCTAAGTAGCTCATGACGGCTGGATCAAGCCATGATATTTTGCGGGACTGAGGGCGCCTCGGGAGAAGTGTCCTCTTGTACTTGGGGGATCTCTTCATCACCATGATTGGTTCGCTCAAATTCAAATCAATGAGCCATTTGCTGTAGTGGGATCGATTAGTCAGAGATTCTCATGATGAAGAACAAGTACTAAATTAGACCTTCCTTCTAGCGTCAAACTGTTGATGCTTGATTTTGACACCAACTATTCGCACGTGGGAAATGCTGAGGGGACTCAGAAGACCACACGTGATTATGGCGGTATTGGATTAAGTAAGGGATGAAGAACAATGTTTAAAGTGGTTCGGATGCTCAAATAAGCGAATCCTACGTCCACTGATACTGTATTAATGTATAAAGTCAGATTGCATTCAGCGAGCTGATTTATAGCTTTGAGAATACAAGAGAGAGCAAGAATATGCTATTACAGAGTAAAATTAGGCAATCCCACAAACGGGAGAGGAGCCCTTTATTTATAGTGGGATGAACCAAGGTAATGATTATTAAATTTGTGAGTGGGGCAGATGTCGTGCAAATCCTTCTTTGTGTCCCATTGCTCACCTGCTCGAATGACTTCCTCGACTTGTGCAGGGATTGGACACGTGGACTGTTTCCAGCCTTTCGCCAATCTAGCCCATACCCACTGCACTGGCAGGAGCATGCCACTCACGTCAACATGCGACGTGACTGCATCTGAATGGTTGTGGAACATTCTTAAGCTCTGACTGCCCATTCTGACAAGGCTCGGCGTCAGCCCTACTTTTCTAGGCTTAACACTTCCAAATTTATTCTCCAAAAACAAAAATAAACATATAATTAAATTAAATTAGATAATTAACAAAATATATTTAAGGATAATAAATATGGTCTAAAATAGGCCCAACAACATCAGAACTGATCATCCATTTGGGCGGTGGATGAATGGATGATCTATTCAGATGCTGTTGGGCCTGCTTACTTTCATCTCCTTATAGATTTAGTCATAAATAGCATGTCTCTCTTTTTTGATGGTAGCATAGCGTTAAAACTGAGATTGATAACACTTGGTATAAGATATGTCATGTCAAGTAACGGTTCTCCACAATCCGGTTTCAATTCATGCCTAAGATTAATAAAATTACCACTGACCTCTTCATAATAAAATTTAAGAACTTATGACAATATTTATGATAGTACACAATAATTATTAAAATTAAATTAAAGTACATAATGATTTGGTGTTTATTGACTATATATCCTGTATAAACGCAAGAGGTTTGATGATCAGGATCAGCAAAAGGTCATACACTCATACACAACAGAAGTGAGGGTCAAATGATAGCCTTGGGGGTATTTCTCAACTATTTCCTGTAAAATGATTCTTCCATAACTCTTCGTTTTAGACAAAATAATAGTGGATAATAAATGGTTCGATCTTTCAATGATCAACCAATTAATCGAAACGGTATTAATCACTTTAATACTCGTTTAGTCTCCCTCTCAAGTCTCACCATATTCCAACAAACTGACAATGGGAAAAAAAAAAGGGGATTTGTGGAGAGAAATTATGCACACCTCTTTTCTCAGCAATATTGTAGATCTTTCAAAGATTTATGGTAGTGTACAGTCCGAACTTTCAACTCTTCTAAAAGGAACCTAGATAGCTGACTCAAGGCTCCCTTTCGTCTTCATCTTTAGGCCACACCCTCGAGATATATATTGGTCTTTATCTTTGACAAACATCAATCTCCATCCTCTTTTTGTTAATCCCACACAAGTTGATAGTGGAATGTATTTTCTATTTTTGTTTTATTTCTCCAATAAACGCTAATTAATTTCTTCTTTCACTAATTGACAGTTCTTTCAAACATACAAATGAAGAGTGCTTCCAGTTGTAGGTTCGTCAATATTAGCTGAGATTCTAGTGCAGAGATCACTACTTTTTATGCCAGCGTCTATTTGAACTTATGTCGACCACTTAAATTCCAGCGTCTTTATCTCAACTAGTGACCACCACTGATTTTCATACAGGTAAGACATTAGCTAGCAGACTAGCATAGAAAACACAGTCCATTACTCCACTGGTAGAAGTCTTTGGCAGCATTCAAAGTCTTCCACTTCCATGGAAATAATCTCGATCTCTGGGTCGCTCAAATTTTGAAAATCCTCCATATACACATCCAATTAACATAACTTGGTGAGTTTTAAATGCAAGGATTTAGGGTTTTTGCTCCTCTAATCAATCAAATTAAATGAACTTGAAAACGAGTCCACGCCATGTATAATTAATTCTCAATGAAGTATAGATGAATGTGACCCATTACACAATATTCTTGCTTACTGGGATTTGTTTTGAACTAACTTTTTCTTTCATATTGTTGATACGAAAATTCGCACCAATTCGAGTGATCCGATTGACTTTGAAGGAATCGAAATCGATGTATGCATGATTAAGGATAATCGGCAATGTATAAACGGGATACAGTAAAGTGAAATGACAAAAAAGCTTTTAAAGTGGTTCGACTAGTTTTTATCTTCAACTTATATCCACTGTATTTGTATTTGTAGTGAGAGCTTACAATGATATTCCTAGAACAATTTGTTAACCTTTTTCTCATCGCTGAAGGGGGTTTGTATACAGATTTTGTACAAAAGAAAGAGCGAAAATAAAAGGATTACAATTAAGATTTAACTGCAACTCTGATATTCTTGCGATTGAGCATTGAGATTGCACCAAGATAGTTGTTGATCTGATCCCTTCCAAGAGATATGAGATCTGTAGTTGTCTGTGAGCTGGTTGAACAATTGTAGAAATTGGTTGCGACTAGCTTATGCTAAGTCGAGCTACATCTCGACGAGCTTATGTTGGATCGGACAATTGATTGAGCCGAACTCATTATGGATCAGGCTATAACCTCGCTGACCTCTGACTTCTCCAAGCTTGATAGAAAAATCATATGCAACACATATCAGATTGATATATCAAAAAAAAAGAGGTGATAAATTTTTATATCTTCTATACGTATTAACCGAAGAAAATTATTTTTCTTCCTTCTTGTCTTGTCTCTATTCTTTGTTGTATCACGGAAAATTCTTTCCTGGAAATGAATGAGAATTCTGCAAAATTTGTAACAGAATAATCAGTAAACGCGACTTCGTTATTATCTCTCTTCTGTAATCTTATATGCACATACACATTGACTTTTATGCTGGTTTAGGGTGCCAAAATATGATAACCTCTTTTATTATGAAACTCGTGGTAGTCGATAAATTAAGTTACTTGGAAGGAGGATATAGTTACCTGGTGTATATATATATATATATATAGCTTTGATTTACTACTATGTCTCTTATAGAAGATGAATGATGCAATTACATAAAAAAGTACACAGCCCAAATTAATTATCTTTTGCATGATTGCTAGAAACAGAGAAACTGCTTTCAACATAAACAAGTCTCATCAAGATTGATTCTGAATTTCCAAGGGAAACATAAACAACAAACTAGGGATAATATAACCTTTATTTAGCACACAGAAATTAAGCAGAGATTCTATATATATATCCTACTCATCGCGCTTGTGGGTTCATGACCTCGGAGAAGACAGCTCCAGAAACGTTCCTACTATCAGAACTTTTAGTAGTAAGACTTTGGTCATCACTGGTTGTTGGTGTCACCGTACTAATACTCTTTGATTCCAACACATGTTCACCAATGCTACTGAACAAAAACCCGCTATCAACATCAGATTCATATTTCATCAACGGAATCTTATCATAATCAACACTGTCCTTCCTTCCATCCTGATTGTCATTACCAAACTTCTCATTCTTCTCTGTAGTCTCCTGTAATTGCAATGCGAACTCAAGACCCCACACCACTTCACTCATCGATGGCCGTCTCATTCCATTATCATCCAAGCAACTCATTGCCACCTCCGCAAATTTGTTCAAGCACTCTGGCGCTATCTTACCCTTCAAAAACGGATCAATAATCTGATCAAGGGTTCCGTTACGATAAGATTGTTGCGCCCAAAAAGCTAAACTCACTTGCTTCTTATCCCCAGTCCGAAGTATAGGTGGCCTCGCACACAAAACTTCGAACAACACAACACCAAATGAGTACACGTCAGATTTCTCAGTTAGATGTTGAAGCCTGTAATATTCAGGATCTAAATACCCAATACTGCCCTTCACCACTGTGCTGACGTGTGTTTGTGACATGGTCGTTGGTCCTGTTTTTGATAATCCAAAATCAGAAACCTTAGCCACCCATTCCTCATTCAACAAAATATTTGTCGTCTTCACATCACGGTGAATGATAACGTGCTTCGCGCCCGTGTGTAGATAATGAAGCCCTTGTGCTGCACCAATGCAAAGTTCGAGACGTTGGTTCCACGAAAGAGGAGGATTATCGCAACCATAGAGATGTTCACGTAGGGTCCCCCGAGACATGTAATCGTATACAAGGATCATCTCTCCATGATCGTTGCAATAGCCAATGAGAGACACTAAGTGACGGTGCCGAAGCCGGGAGAGCATTTCGATCTCTGTGTTAAATTCCTGGGCCCCCTGTTGTGACCCTGGATTTAGCCGTTTGATGGCAACAGGCGTGGACCCATCATCAACGTAGCCTTTGTACACATTACCAAACCCTCCAACTCCAATTATGAACACATCATCGAAGTTGTTGGTAGCCGCTGTGATCTCCGAGAATGAAAAGTGGGTACAAATATCGGACGGTAGTGATGAGCCACGTGACTTGGTTGACTTGGTCGTAAATGAAGAAAATGTGGCCCAGAACGAAGCCCCAGTGCTGGAACCCGAGTCCTTAACTTTTCTGGCTCGCCGGAAAATGAATAAAAGTAAAAGAGAAAGCACAACAAAGCCAGATGCTACGCCGACAACAATGGCTATTATAGTTTTATTATTATTCTTGGGTTGTGGGTTTGGCTGCGGAACTGAAGACGGGGGAATCGGGTCAGGATTAGGTCCGGCGAGATTTCCATGATTGTCCACTTTGAAGATTTCAACGCCACTCAAGGTAGCATCAGAGTAGGTACTCATCCACTTGGCTGTTGGGTGCAGAGCAACAGAGAGATTCTGCTTCTTTTCTTTTCCTTTTCCTCCGATGATCACAGCGTAATCTTTGTATATTGGAACACCATTACCATTACCCAAAGCAATTATGTCTAAATGATTTTCGGCAGTCTCATTTGCTATGTCGACCTGAAACACTCTATCACCAACTTTTGTTATCTCTATCTGAAACTCACAAAAATGAAGCCTGACAAAATAGGTAAACGCGGAATCCACTGGAAACTCCCAAGTGAGGATATAGTTTGCATTAATTTCCTGGTCCAGTCCCATCGTCATAGCGCTCTGATAGACTTTAGCTGGAGCAGTGTAATTAGCCATCCGGCTGAAATTGAGAGGCATACTAGAGTTAAAGCGAATATAGCCTGGTCTGGCATATGTCAAGTAATCCGCGTAACTGCCAAACCAGGTTCGAAACATGCCGGTGTCGAGGTGTGGGGAGATCAGCCCGCCGCCGATATTTACTCTGTATACGGTCTCCAGGGCTGTGCTGTTTTCGATACTGTATGTAGGATCTGTGGGCCGGTCTAGAAATTTTAATGCCTTAGTGGGTGCTTCGGTGTAATAAAGATTGGTAGGCATGGATACTATTTCAATTCCGTTGACGAATGCGTATGCTTGTTGATAGTCTGGACTCGGAGTAAAGGTTATGTTTAACTTTTCACCTTCTTCCACATTGAGACAGAATTCTTTGAAAAAGGTGTCTTGGCCTATGGCAGCAGCCGTAAGTGAAGCACTGAAGTTGCTTAAGAGGGTAAAAGAACCTGCTTTAACAGAGAAGAAAGCTTTCGAGTTGTCAAATTCTGGATACGAAGTTGCATAGAAATACAAGCGGATAAACTTTTGACCGGCCGTGAGGTTGAATATGTATGTGAAAGGCGAATGAGAGAGTCGTGCTTGCAAGAAGTATTTCTCGGAACTGCTACTTGGATTTTTAGGTGCCACAGAGGCTATCGAAGCGTTATTTTGGGTTTCAAACAGGGGGAAGTATTGAGAGCTATTATCTCCAAACCATTTCCGTGTTTGATCTTCTGAGAGGAAGCTGTAAGACAAGCCACATGTGAGAAGTATGTTTTCTGTTGCATCATAAGAATAAGGTGAGTTACCATGGACGCCGTAGGCAAGGTGGCAGACGAAGAAGGAGAGGTGGAATAGAGTGAGAATTGGTCGGATTTTAGCATGAAGATACTTACTGTAGGTGTTCTCCATTGTGTGTTAAGAAGATGAAGCACTGGTAATTACAGCTTAGGCAGATGAGTAAAATATAAACGCAGGAATGATTGGAGAAATTGGGCACTACCAAGTACCAACGAAGACTTGGAAAAGTCTTGGAAGACTTGGAGTCTTTGGCAGATACTTTACAAAAAGTGATGACAACTTGTTGAGGCATTTTCTCCACAAAAAATTGTTACTTATATTTTTCTTGTTTTGGGAGAAAGGATTTTTTTTTTTTTTTTTTTTCACCGACGGTATGTGGGCTAGTTTACACTCACCTCAATGAATCCCTTAGAATGTTAAAGTTTAGGGTCGGATAAATTGTCTCAATTGTCACCCTTATTAATAATCTAGATAGATCGAACTCAAGACCTCTTGAATAATACACTTAAAAATCATAATTGATCATTACCTCGTTTTCTCCAACTTGACGAAGAATATTAACAAATATTTTTAAATCTTTCTCAATATAAAAAAGCGCGAATTCATTTCCATATTATAGACATCACACATACTAGAATCATTACCATATAAAAAAATTAGTAAAAATCCATATAAAATCTCCAGGGAGATTTTAATGTTGGAAAAGGTTTATTTTATTTAGCTTTATGAAATTTAATATTAATCACTGTTACATGATAGCTAAAAAGCCTAAAATAAACCCATAAAATGATAGTCAAACCACTGTTGCAACTTGCAACCATAGTGGGTCCCCAATCTACAGCATTATGGTGATTTCATCATCTTATGCGGCCAAAATAAGCGTTGAAATCCCCGAATTCCTACTGATAAAACAAGGTTTGGTAATGTGTAGAAATTCTACGTTAACGATGGGTCCACACCAATTGCAATAAAATGGCTAAACACAACAGGGAGCCAACGAATTCAAAACAGAGAAATCAAACGTATACTTGTTTGGTATAGTCTTGTTCGAAGTATTGTGTGCTAGACCACTTATATACAGTAAAGGGATAAGAACTTAGCCTTGCATGTCTAGCGTGAGTGAGAGTATTAGAAATTGTATTTGTTTCATGTCGTTAATTTGGTAAAGTATTATAGTGTATATATATGTGTGATTAGACTCATTCTGTTGTTGGGTTAACTTTAGAGAGGAAGTTTTATCCAAACCTATTTATATTGAAGATAAAAAAAATGTATAATTGATGAAACTTGTTTACGGTAATTATGTTTGCAATCTTTTTTATCCACTCTTTGTTATAATATTATTTCCCTTCTGTGATGATGATGTGGCTTGTGTATGCCACGGTGGAGTCAGCATCAGTCAAAGAAATCAGCCTCAAATTAAACCAATACGGCAGCGTTTCAGCCATCAGTTTTAAGTGCCTTATCTGGCACACGAATTTCATTCTGTTGCAACAGAATGCGCAGCTCCTTTACGCCTTCTCTTTCTTCTCATCCTACAACAGAAGATTCTAGTGCTCCTCTGCTCTAACAACTGCAGATTTTTCTGGACAGCTGGAGGATGATCAATGGAGTCCTGATCTGTATAAAATCAGATCTTTTGTGCTGGAGAAAAGTAGAGTTTTCAGAGGGATTTTTCGGTGTGTTTCTTTCTGTTTTTCCTGGTTGTTTACTCTTGTACTTGGTTTCCTTGATTAATAAAATACCCTATAGTGTGCCTTGAAGAGTGGATGTAGGTTACCTTAGCCAACCACTATAAATCCCCTGTGTCAATTGTTTTTCTGTTATTTCATGGTTTTTTTTTTTTAATCTCTTATTTGATTGCTTGTTGATTGATAGATCGTGTTGCTCATTGATGATTTAATAAGCATAACTGAAAGCCCTAATTAGTCACTACAAATGGTATCAGAGCCTAGTTCGAATCTAAGTTAGGGTTTTTTGAAATTCATTTTCTGTCGTGAAAATCTTATTCAAAAACATGTCCACTAAATTGTGAACTCGAAAAGTTTACAGGGACAATGATTTGGACTCTGGAAGATGAAAATGGAAGCTGTGCTGATAAAGAAGGACTAGCATTAGCTCTGAAAGGGGAATCTGAGCTGCCTGACACCATGACTGAAGCGGAAAGCAGATGTGCTCACAAAGCTAAGAGCTCCTTGATCCTAGGATTGGGTGACAAGTCCTGCGAGAAGTGAAGAAGAGAAAACTGCTGCTGAGATCTGGAACGGTTAGACTCCCTGTATCAATCTAAAGCTGTCCCTAATAGATTGTATTTAAACAAAGTCTGTTTGGTTTTAAAATGGATGAGCAAAATCTTTAAAAGCAATAAGGATGAGTTTCTAAAACTTATACAGGATTTAGAAAGCATATCAGTAGAGGTTTGATGAAGATCAAGCTGTAATTCTTCTAAATTCCCTACCTAAACCTTACTCCAATTTTGTAAAACATTAAAATATGGTGGGCAGACACTTAAATTAGAAGAGGTTGTAGAAGCAATCACAGCTAAGGATAGAGAACACAAATGACATTAGGCAGTGATGGGAAGGTCTCATGGTAAGGGGTAGATCAGAAAAGAGAAACTGAAAAAGGGGGGACAAAATAGGATAAGATCTAAGTCAAAACTGGGAAGTGGAAGTGTTTTTTCTGTCACAAAGAAGGCATCTGAGGAGACTGTCCTGAAGGAAAAATAAGAAAAGCATGGAAAGAGGAAGAAGAGGGCAGTGCTAGTGTTGTGTCTGAAGGTTATGAAGTTCAAAGTTTTAGTCATCTCTGAAAGTAAAAACAGTGAAGAATGGATCTTAGACACAGGATGTACCTCACCACATGACACCAAATAGGGAGTGGTTTAGCTCTTTTCAAACTATAGATGGTGGAAAGGTTGTGATGGGAAATAATGCAGTATGTGGCATTAAGGGCATAGGTACTGTTAAGCTAAGCCTTCACAATGGCCTAATCAAAACTCTCACTGATGTAAGATACATCCCTGACCTTAAGAAAATCTAATATCACTAGGTACCCTAGACTCAATAGACTAAGTTACAAAGCTTCAAGTGGAAGTCTTAGTGTAATGAAGGGTCATTAATAGTGATGAAGGTGAAAAGAAAAATGGTCTTTATTGTTTAAAGGTAGGACAGATAGGGCATAGCTGCTGTAGGTCTTTAGTAACACAGGATAAAACCTCACTGTGGCATCAAGGTTGGCACATGTTAGTAGAGGTTTAGATGAGTTGAGTAAACAGAACCTGTTAGGAGGGATCAAACGGGAAACTTAACCTTCTGTGAACACTGTATTTTTGGCAAAAGTGCAGGGTAAATTTGGATCTGGTAAGCTTACTCAAGCTCACCACTTGGTATGTTCACTCAGATGTATGGGGACCAGCTAGACACTACTCACTAGGGGGCTGTAGGTATTTCATTAGTTTTGTGGATGATTATTCTAGGCATGTCTGGATATTTTTCTGAAGACTAAGGATGAGGCATTTCTTAGGTTTAAGGAATGGAAATAATGGTTAAACTCAATCTGGGAAGAAACTTAAAAGGCTTAGGACGATAATGGTCTTGAGTTTGTGAATGATGAATTCAATAGTTTCTGTAAAAACCATGGAATTGTTAGGCACAAAACTGTTAGAAATACCCCACAGCAGAATGGCCTCTGTGAAAGGATGAATAGGACCATCCTAGACAAAGTTAGGAGCATCCTGTCAAACTCTACACTACCTGTAAAATTCTGGCGAGAAGCTGCACATACTGTGGTGTATCTAATTATAGAACCCCTTCATCTGCCATAGGTTTCAAGGTACCCTTAGAAAAATGGACTGGACACCCTATAAAGCTGGACAACTAAGAGTTTTCGGGTGTCTATCTTATGTTCATGTAAGGATGATAACTGAAACCTGAGCTGTAAAGTGTCTGTTTCTTGGATTCTCAAGGGAGTAAAAGCTAAATTTCTGGAATCTAACCAAAGAGTGTATAATCAGTAGGGATGTGGTTTTTAGGGAAGAGTCCTTCCTGGACTAGAATGTGAACCTGAAAATCAGTTGATAGTGGCTCAGGACCAAAATCATTGATAGTGACTCTGGATCAGACCTTTTAGAACTGGAAATTCAGGATGTAGTTACTAGTCATCAAGGTGGAGCTGTGAAACAAGGAGAATCCTGAAAATCCTAATACAGATGAGTTGGATGAGCAAGGAGAACAGAACCAGACTTGATAAACTATCAACTAGCTAGGATAGAACCAGAAGAGTCATTAAACCTCCCAACAGACTAGGATATGCAGATCTGGTAGCTTGCACTTCAGGTAGAAGAAGAGCTGAATGATGAGCCTAAACATTTCAGGAAGCTATCTTAGGACCTGATAAAACTGAGTGGAAAAGGGAATTGAGGATGAATTCAGTTCCTTAATGAAAAACAATACCTGATCCTAGTTGATAAACCAGAAAACTGCAGGGTGGTTAAGTGCAAATGGATCTTCAAAAGAAACCAGGTCTAACCCCAAAAGACCCACCTAGGTATAAGGCTAGACTAGTTGCAAAGGATTTACTCAAGTGGAAGGCATAGACTATAATGAAATATTCTCCCCAGTTGTAAAGCATGCTTCAATCAGAATTCGATTTCTCTGGTTGTACAGTTCAATCTGGAACTGGAGCAATTGGATGTAAAAACAGCCTTTTTACATGTGACTTGGAAGAATATTCTGATGAGCAGCCAGAGGGATAGGACCAGCAGTAAAGTTTGTCTTCTTAGAAAATCACTTTATGGCTTAAAACAGTCACCACGACAGTGGTATAAGAAATTTGACTCTTTATGATTGAAATTGGCTTTAATAGATGTCAATTTGATAGCTTTTTTTATTTAAAAGAATTCTGATTTGTCTTATACTTACTTATTGCTTTATGTGGATGACATGTTGGTTGCTTGCCATGACAAAACGGAGATTATTCGATTGAAGAAAATTCTCAATACCAAGTTTGAAATGAGGAGCTGGGTCAGGCTCAAAAGATTCTTGGTATACCATCATAGAGACAGAATGCAGGGAATTGAAGCTGGTTCAAGAAGAATATGCAGAGAAAAT